GCTTTGAGGAAAACAAGAAAAATAAGCAGGTTGAGAATCCAGGCTGGGCTGAACCAGAGCAGAGTATGGGGAGTCCTGGCCCAACCAGAAGTGGGGGGGTGGGGGGGTGGTAACCAAAAGCTGTGTCTTCATCCTGCAGAAAAGGGGGGCTAAGTAAAGTGGGAGGTGGCCAGGGGCAGCCTTTCAGGCCAGCGGGAGGGACAGAGATGGTGTGAATGAGAGCCTTTGCTCACTTTTTGGATGATTTATCTCCAGTTCCAAGTTTCTAAGTATATTTTGTGCCTTTTATGGAGTTTGATAGAATTAAAGATACAGTGGTTTTGAGTGAAGGGAAACTAAGAAACATTCTACTTGTTTTTCATTTCTGCGGTATGGATTTCCCGGCCCCGCCCTGAGCCGGGCGACATCTGTGATAACTTCTGTCCTTTAAGCAATTCAAGCCACAGGAATTTTTCCTTCCCAGGAAGCTGAAATGGAAAATCAGCCCTAATAAATGGGCACGCCCCGTGGCTGTACGTTTGGAACCTGTGTTTCTCTCATCAGGAACTGGCTGGTTAGTTCTGTGCTGGTTTTTTGTTCTACTGTCTTTGAGCTGTTGGTCTCCTTATCTCCCCACAAGATGTGTGTCACAACTCTCGCTTTGAATCTGCAGCCTGGATCTTGTGGGTGTTCGCTTGCCCTCGAGGCTGTCGAGGGTGCCAGAGCTTGGAACCCAAAGACCTAAGGATTCCAGTTCTGACACCACCTCTGCCCGGTTCACCTGGTCAAGAGCTTAGTGACACAGCAGAGCAGATTGTGTTGGATGGGGCAGCATGTGCCAGAGCAGGTAACAGGGTGCCAGACTGGAGGTTTATGTTCTGCACCTTTACTGCATTTCAGAAGAGGATGTTTAGCTAGGAAATGTCTGTGGCAATTTCTGGCGATTTTTAAGGTGCTGTCATACCTTCGGTTGAATGATTCTTGGTCTTCGGTGTATTGTTCGAGAAAAGAGAACAGTTAGGTGTCATCATTGAGAAGGGAGTGGGAGATACAGAGAGAGACACCCCCCCCCCGCCTCAAAAAAACCATGATGAGGGGAGAATCATTCAGTAATGTCCTCGTTCATTGGCTTGTGGGTGGAGAAAACTCTGGAATTGATCGACACAGGTGTGCATAACTTGGTCATGTCAGGAAACCTCAGGTACAGGAATTCGGACTTCCTCCCCACACTTATTGAGCACTTAACGAGACAGCCCTGCGCCAGCCAACGTACTCGTATTAGAATACTCTGTCCTTCGATTAGATGGCCTTATAGGTTTACCAGACAAGATTCATGAACACAGGTCTGGAAACTTGCCCAGGTCACCCAGCCAGTAAGTGTAGAGCTGGCATTTGAATCCCAGCAGTGTGACTCCAGAACCCACCATTCTAGCCCCTGCACCACAGCGCTGTGCTGCTCTGGGGAGACGCTGTGTGCGGCCCAGACCTAGTGACAAGGGGTGCCCGTGCACTGCTCTCTTAGTGCCAGAGCTATATAGGCTGAAGGCCGCTTTTTTTTTTCTTTAATATGAAACTTATTGTCGAATTGGTTTCCATGCAACACCCAGTGCTCATCCCAACAGGTGCCCTCCTCAGTGCCCATCACCCACTTTCCCCTCCCTCCCACCCCCCATCAACCCTCAGTTTATTCTCAGTTTTTAAGAGTCTCCCTCTCTTTTTTTTTTTCCCTTCCCCTCCCCCCTGGTCTTCTGTTAAGTTTCTCAGGATCCACATAAGAGTGAAAACATATGGTATCTGTCTTTCTCTGTATGACTTACTTCACTTAGCATAACACTCCAGTTCCATCCACGTTGCTACAAAAGGCCATATTTCATTCTTTCTCATTGCCAAGTAGTATTCCATTGTGTATATAAACCACAATTTCTTTATCCATTCCTTAGTTGATGGACATTTAGGCTCTTTCCATAATTTGGCTTTTGTTGAAAGTGCTGCTATAAACATTGGGGTACAAGTGCCCCTGTGCATCAGCACTCCTGTATCCCTTGGGTAAATTCCTAGCAGTGCTATTGCTGGGTCATAGGGTAGATCTACTTTTAATTTTTTGAGGAACCTCCACACTGTTTTCCAGAGTGGCTGCACCAGTTTGCATTCCCACCAACAGTGCAAGAGGGTTCCCGTTTCTCCACATCCTCTCCAGCATCTATAGTCTCCTGATTTGTACATTTTAGCCACTCTGAGCAGCGTGAGGTGGTATCTCAGTGTGGTTTTGATTTATATTTCCCTGATGAGGAAGGCTGCTTCTTTAGTAACCTCCTGGTGCGTGCCTGCACATGCGTACATGTGATTATATATGATAATTTTAAATACAGTTGCCCCCCCCAGGGGCGCCTGGGTGGCTCAGCCAGTTAAGCGTCTGACTTCGGCTCAGGTCATGATCTCACAGTTCGTGAGTTCGAGCCCCGCATCGGGCTCTGCTGACGGCGCGGAGCCTGGAGCCTGCTTCAGATTCTGTGTCTCCCTCTCTCTCTCTGCCCTTCCCCTACTCATGCTGTCTCTCAAAAATGAATAAACGTTAAAAAAAATTAAATATAGTTGCCCCTTACCCACTCACAGGTTCTGTTTGTGAAGTCTCCTGTTCATTAAACACTTATTTGTAACCCTAAGATCAGTACTCATGGTGCTCTGTGGTCATTTGCAGGCACAGAGTGGTGAGAAATCAGAGTTGCCTAATGCCCTGTTCCCAGCTGAGTTCAAGAAAAAACATTGTTTTTCTTGTTCAGCTCAAACACATCATTTAGTAACCGTTTTTTTTGGCTTTTTCTTGATTTTGCCTTTTTTTTTTTTTAATTTTTTTTAACGTTTATTTTTGAGACAGAGAGAGACCGAGCATGAACGGGGGAGGGGCAGAGAGAGAGGGAGACACAGAATCTGAAACAGGCTCCAGGCTCTGAGCTGTCAGCACAGAGCCCGACGCGGGGCTCGAACTCACGGACCGCGAGATCATGACCTGAGCCAAAGTCGGATGCTTAACCGACTGAGCCACCCAGGCGCCCCGATTTTGCCATTTTTAAAACGGCCCCGAAGCATAGTGCTCAAAGTATTTTGTGTAGTGTCCTAAGAGCAAGAAGGCCAGGATGTGCTTTCCTTACGTAAGCTTTGTCCGGGCATGAGTTACAGTGCTGTTGGCTGCAAGTTTGTTGTTAATCAATATAAACGAAAGCTTTTTTAGTTTTATCTTTTAAAGAGTTTTTTTCTTAATCTCTTTAGCTAGTGTGGGGCTTGAACTCACATCCCCGAGATCAAGAGTCGCGTGCTCTGCTGACTGAGCCAGCCAGCCACCCCCAACCAGGAGTGCTTTTGAACAAACACATAAAACAAGGTTATGTGTTGATCAGTTGACGTGACCAAGTCCCATGTTTCCCCAGATGGCAGCGGCCGGGCAGTCACTAACACTCAGTGCTCACAGTGACTTTGCAGAATGGAACTACCAGGAATAATGAGAACCGGCTGTGTATGTGTCAAATGTGAGCGAGCCTGGGCTTCCAGAGAGTGGTGTTTGCTAATGCAGGGGATTGGACTTGACTGGTGTGTTCCCTGCGTGAACGGTACTTATCTCACTGGGCATCAGGAGCTGAACTCCTCAGTCCCGCTTGGCATGCAAGACCACAGGTGTCACCTGGGAACTGGCACCCCCCCACCCATCCTTAGGTCTTCCCGAACAGGCTCATCTCCCACCATCTGAAAGTTGCTTTTACAGCACCTCCCCCTTCATTGAGTAGCTCTCTTAGAGCAGAGAGAGCAGGAGTTCAGGCCAAGCCCTCATGCCCCAGGACTTCACACACCTGCCTTGGTCGCCCTCCCTGTCGCTGGAGCCACTGTCCCCCCACCCCACCCCACCCCCACCCAAACAACCTCTAGCAGTCATGGGGTCTCCCATTTGTGGCAACAGAGCAAAGCTCCAGGTTCTCCTGCACCTACCACACCATTTATCTCCTCCCTTCTCAGCCCAAATCCCAGAGTTCTTCTGCCTCTGCAAGGTTTCACCCCCAAACTGAAAGCCTTCAGTTTCACCACATCCAGCCCGTGGAGGCATCTGCACAGTAGAGAAGCCTGAACTCTCAGCATCTCTGACAGTGCTGCCTCCTGCCTTTCTTCCTGGCTTTCCCTGGCTGGCTTCTCTGCTCAAACTCTAAATGTTTGGGTGACCCAGTGCGCTGCCTTTTGTCATCGACACCCAGGCCCCAGGAGATCTTAACCTGACCCGGGCTTCAAATACCATCCTCGCTGATGTGTTCTGGGTTTGTGGCTTCAGGTTCCCTTTGGAGCCTCAGCCCGGGTCCGTACCCCACTCCCCTCTTGCTCTGCCTCTTCCTGTGGTGTTGGACCTCAGCTTTCCGCCCACCCTGTTCTGTTCCATTCTCTTCCTAGCATCCATCTCGTTTACTGGTCTGTACCCTGCCCCCCACTAGCACCCCTCCCCTCCCCACCTCAGAGCACCACGAGAGCAAGGACCTGCCTGTTCTGTCCTCTGCTGTACCTCTTGTGCCAGCACAGTGCCCGAGACACCACGGGTGCTCGATAAATGAGGGGTGACTGAGCAGATCTGTGACGGAAAGCAGGCAGGGAAGTTGCTCATACTGGAAAAATGGCCGCTACGGCAGGAAGAGCCTGAACAGGCGCACGTGGTCGTGTCTGCCGGAGGCCACTGGTGCCATGGCCCCGGCCACCGCGGAGCCCACCTCTGACATCTGGACTCCCCGACCGCGCCCCAGAGACCACCTCGTGGCAGCTCAGGCATTTGGGACAGGCACCCCAGCAGATTCTGCCACAGGCCCCCCTTCGGAAACACTGGTTTAACCTATCAAGGACTGTTGCTAGCTTACTCTCCTGTTTTCAACATTAACCCTTCTGGAAAAAGCGTGTTACTTAATTGAGTTAGAGGAGCGATGTTGCTTTTGGGAATGGGAATATCGCTAAATCAGTTTCGAGGCTGCATGGAAGGAGAGTTGTGAGGACAGGTGTGCCTTCTCCTCCCCCGTGGAAGTTTATTTATGTTTAGTCTTTGGCACACTTGATTAAAGTGAGCTGCCGTTACCGTATTTTAATATATTTCAGTCAAGAGAACACCCCGGTGCAAGTCCTGAAGCAGTTTTCTTTTTCCACAGAATATAGCAAATTGTTGAACATGACTGAAAGCTTAATCTGAAGGTTTCCTGAGTGTACCTGGCTCAGCAGTGGGGACGATGGTGAGCAAGACACAGGCCTTGCCTTTAAGGAGCTCCAGATCTGATAAGACACAGACAAGGAAAAGGTCAGCACAGTTGCACACAGCACAGAGTACAGCGTGGCATGTGACCCAGGCCTTGGGGATGAGGGCAGGTCTGAGCTGAGCTCCTGGGTAGCTCAGTAATGCAGGAGTTCTAAGAAACCAAGCCGAGGAGAAGCAGATGCCCTGTCATGGCCCTCAGTCACTAGGTGAGGGGACTGGAGTTGATCTAAGGCCCCAGGGAAAACTGAAGGGCTCAGTGGGGGCAGGGGAGAGACGGGAATTTCCCACTTTGTAGTGTGCAGATTAGATGGGAAGGGGACAGGTGGAAGGCACTTGCAGTAACACAGTGCAGAGGTGACGAGGGCCTGAATTAGTCTGAGACCTGTGGAGACAAATGGGAGACTTCACAGGACTGGATGGGGATGGGAGTAATCATTAATAACAGATCTGTAATGTCACCAGCTGCGTAGCTGCCGGGACTTCCTGACACAGGTAACCCAGGACGTAGAGCAGGCATGTGAAGGAAAATGGGGAATTCAACTGTGAGTATGGCGAGGTGGGGGCCCTTGGGCCACACCCTGCCGGGCTGGGGTGACCATTTGGAGTCAACAGGCTGCTTGGCACAAGGGGAATGGATGAAACCAGTCAGGGGAAAGTGGAGAGACATCCACATCCAGGGGACAGAAGAGGAGGAGACTGCACAGAGGTTTAAAAAAAAAAAAAAAAAAAAAAAAAAAGGTGAGGTCACCAGAACAAGGAAAGAGATGTTTCTAGCTGGAACGACGGGTTCCCAAAGACAGAAAAGGGCACGGCTGACATCTGTCCCAGAGTCGGCACCATGCTGTCAGGCAGCTGCAGAGGGGCCGAGAAGGAGATGGTAAGGACAGGTCACTTGAGAAGTTGGGCGTGAAGTGGAACGTGGTGGAAGGAGAGGTTGCGAGGGCTCAGGCTGAGTCAGAAAGGAGGCTGGGGGCAAAAAGCGGGTCTCAGCAGAGTCCAGGAAGCGAGGTGGTCGGCTGAGGACTGGGTGAGAAAGGGTCAGAAAGTGAGAGATGGGAAGTGAAGATCTCATAAGGGGTAGTGACGAGGACTCGGCCATATGGCCAAGGGGACAGAACTGTCCGGACTGGTTACATAGTCCAGGGCAGCTGAGAGGCCCTCTGGATAAGAAGACTCAGGGAAGGGGACAGTAGGGCCACAGTCTTAGCTGAATAAGGGTATGCATTGATGGGGAAGATGAACGCGATAGGCCCCCGGGATGTGCCTCCAAGAACTGGTCTTTTTCAAACTGAGGCCTTGGGCAAGGGAGCAACTTGCCATGGCCAAACAGCTAGGGAAATCACAGCCCAGACTGTCACCCAGACATCCCAACTGGGTGGCTGGTCCCTGTGGGCCTTTCCCTCACTTCTGTGTAACTCACGCTCAACTACCTGTGCACCTGAGGGGCCCTCCAACTATTAGTATTGTAATTTGCACCATCTTTCAGCATGGTGCCAGCACCTTCCTTACTCGTCTAGGCGGGGGGTGGGGGGGGAGCCATTTTCTGTGTTCGGTTAGGAAATGGACTCTGAAAAGCACAGGTAATTATGACTTAGATATTCCTTTTGTCCAGACATGCTGGATAAATGGGCTTGAGGGTGGAGGCATCACTGACTAGTACCGAAAGCCTTCTAAAGGATGTGCAGTCAGATCAGACTCCAACGGTGAAAACTTAAGCAAGTGACTCTGTTGTGGAAAGAATGTTCATCTGTGATGCAATTACTCTAGTTTACCAAGTGTCGTCTTCCTGTTTTCCACATCATTTTACAAAGAGCTTTTTGAGGATTTTGCCCTGTGAAATTCAGATGATCCCTTTCCTATAGCCATCTATAATGTGTGTGTGTTGATGGGGGAAGGTCGGTAATCAGACCCTGGGATTTCCCTATGCTGTGGTCTGTTTTTGTCTTCCTGGATTAAAAGGTGTCGTTCTGGTTCTCAGCAATGGCCTCTAAAATGCGCCTTGAGAGGTGAATGGATTTGGCCTGACATCCGTTAACCTCTCCTCTTACAATTGTCAGAAAACTTGGACTGGTTGACACGAGTGGAATTTTTCTTTCATTTGGATAAATGTGTCACTGTCAGATGCTGTTGTGACAGATGGAAAAATCCTATGTAGGGCACGCAGGAAGGACTGTGAGGAAGGACTGTGAGGGGCCCTCTGGCACAGGGGTTGATATGAACCCATCCTGCCTCTTATCGTGTGCACTTCCTGAAAAACGTTCCTGTTTTAGATCTCAGTATAACAGCTTGGTGGAGGTCTATCAGGGGCCCAGCAAGTTGCACCCAGCCTAGGACCCCAAGTGTCTCCCTGGGCCTGTGGGTAGGGGGTGCGGCGGATGACCACCTGACCAGCTCCTGCACACTCTACGGAGTGCCAGGGTCCACCCTGGCGAGCGGGTGTGGCTGCCTGAACCCTTACCAAATAGAGCCTCACCTTCCAGCCCTTTACCGCACTCACCTCACACCCACCCGCCCTGTGGCCTGGTAATGGGATACCTGTTCCCTCTCCCCACGGGGCGTGCCCTTCTGGTCTCTCCCCAGCCCTCCACCTGGCCCACAGCCAGTCCTGGGCATCCTTTGCGGCTCACCCTGGGGATTCTGTGCTCCCTTCCTCTACTCAGACCCACGCACTCGGGCCGAGCAGGGCTCACCCTGTCCTGGTCCTGTTGTCCAGATCCAGGGACCCAGAGAAGCGCTACCACATCGTCCTGTGTTCCGTCGTCAGGGCCGGGCGCCCGCGCGGCTGGGGGGAAAAGGAAGGGAGGATGGTGAAAGCGAGGGATGCCCAGGCTTCCGGCCCCCTTCGCGGCAGCGCCAATCCGAGTGCACTGTGGCCCACGGCACGCCCGCCGGGGAAACGGGAGAGATGCGCACCTTTTACCGGTTTCCGCTCCCCGGCTTCCGGCCGGGTGGTCCTGGCTAGAACGGATCCCCGAAGCCGGGGTGTAAGGCAGGAGGGGCAGCGAGTCCCGCCCCTCCCCTCCCCTCCCCTCCCCTCCCGGCCAGCCAGATCACGTGGTCCGTAGCGCCCCCAAGGGCCAGCCACGTGACGGCGGCTCGCCGTTGCCTTGGCAGCGGCTGCGGTGGCCTGCGGGGGTGGGGCAGCCCGCGGGGGCGGGGCCGGGGAGGGGGGGACCCGGCGGGACGAGCACGGAAGGAGGGAGGGGGCCGTGCTCAGCGCCCCGGCCGGGCCACGGGGCCACAGGGCAACACGGCCACGCCGCATGCCACAAGCCTGAGTGGGAGCGGAGCCGGCCGGCAGGCAGGGCAGCTCGGTGAGTGCTGGCCGTGGGGGGCGGTTGGCGGAGTTGGGGGGGGGGGGGGGGGACCCCCCCCCTGTGGGGGGCCCAAACTTGCCCGGGGCGACCCCCCGCGGGGGCGGGGGGGGGCTTTCTCCTGGGCTGGTTTGGGATGGGGTGGCTGCGGATTTGGAGGGTGGCCAGGTGACCCCAACCCTAAGGGATCCTTGGGAGGAGTGCGGCGCTGAGAAGACTTGGAAGTCCAGAACAGGGGCCGAGTGCGGGTCCTGCTTCTACTGAGGCTTTCCTAGGGGAAGGGACAGAGATACAGGTAGACGCTTCTGGGAGAACCCTGTGGAGGCTGCGGGGGCCCCTGCGCCCCCGCCCCGCGCGGGTGTGACAGAGTCAGACTCGCCATTGCTCATGCCCCAGATGTTTAAAGGAAGTTAGGACAGGCAAACCCCAAACCTACCGCCTAGAAATGTTTCAGGCAGGCCTGCCAAGGAGAATAAATAGCTCATCTTTAGAGACACCATTATTCTTCAAGAGCTTTTTTTTTCTGACTGCTCCTTACATATAAAAAACAAACAAAAAAGCCTCCATGAAGTTTAGCCAGGAGGGCATCCTTTGAAGCCTCTGTCACCCGACAGAGATGTCAATATTTATCTTGTCCTACCCCACCGCTACCCCAGCCCAGAGTGTGAGAACTCTGCCTCTCCTGGGGCAGGGGGAGGAGGCCTGGCAGAAGGTAGGACACCTGGACTGGGACGGTTAGGTGGGATATGAATCCAGTCCAGGCTACTCCTTCAGCAGGAAGTGGCCTTTCTATCTCCAGGACCCACAGGCCTGCCTCAAGACCCAGGCTCCAAGCAGACGGACAGCCTGCCCTTCCTTCCACTCCCTGCCACTCAGAGGACATCTGCAGGGCCAAGACTGCCCGGGCATTACCCAGAGGCCAGTGTCAGCCCTCATGGCCCCCAAAGCCCTCCCTCTCCACCCTCCGACTTGAGCCCAGCCCAGGCCCACTGATGGCCCCTGGGCTTGTCTTTTCACCCTTTGGAGGCAACCAGGTCCTCCTGCTCCTCCCAGGCAGCCAAACATTTCAGCGGACAACCACCCAGACCACACCGACCCCAGGCTGCTGCTCCCTTCAGTAGCTCCTTCAAAGCCCCTGCAGCCTGGCACCACCATAGAGTCCAGCACGGTCACACTGCCTGGGCTGCCTTGGGCTCCACACACTTACCACACACATCCTGCTTTCCACCTACATTTCCCTGACTCCCTCTGCAGCCAGCCTTCCTGCCACGTCCCTTGCCTCTCAGAACCCTCCCATGAAGGCAGAATCTCGTCTTTGAGGGAGGGTCCCTCTTTGCAAGTACTGCCTTTACTACCTATGCCCTTGACTCCTGTCCTTGCTCCCTAGCAGGGACCTTCTCCCTGCCCAAAGTTGCTCCTTTGTCCTCACACCCCCTCCACGAAAGCAGCATTTAGCTCATTGGGTGAAAATCCCCCCCCCCCTTATGTTGCTTCCCCACCCAACTCACAGGATCCTCACCATTTTCATCTCTGATGCCTAAGTACCAAATGCAGTCTGACCTTAAAGCCCAGTAAGAAGTGTCTTTTGGATGGAGAATGGAGAGATGGATACTCTGTGAGGGCAAAGGTTGTGCCTTTCACCCATCCACCTGCCATATGCTGTCTTCCTCATACCTGTTGGCTGGCTTCTGTTATGTATGGATAAAGAAAAGAGGAAAAGTCAATTTCCAAATGATGCCATTCTAAATTATTTGGTGCTAACCAATGGATTAGTTAGTGAGCAACGTTTCTCTTAATTCTCCCTGAAGGAAGGGACGGTCCAGTGATTGAAGAGCTGGAAAACAATGCTTCTGGCTGCAGACAGGGGCATGGGGCAGTGACCAGGGCTCCCAAGCCAACTTTCCTAGAAACGACCTAGTAATTGGTATCCCCTGGCAGAAATAGGAGAACACAGAACTGTTCCCCAGGGTCGTCTTGGCCAGTAAAAGCTGTACCTCTGCAGCCTAGTAGAGAACAAAGAGGAAGGCACCCCAAAAGAGAAAGCTCTTCTCCACCTCTAGGACCCTCCCATAGAACCCTTTCAGAGATTGGTGTGGATAGATCAAGTTTGGGGCATTTCCACAGCCACTGGCCCTGGTAAACACCCCTTCTACCACCTACCCACCCCCAGCTCTGCTCCCTGGGACCTAGAAACACTGATCTGTTTGTAATAGCCTTAAGTTGGCTTTTTGTGGGGCCTATGCGGGCCTGAACATACAAGTTCACATCTGATGCCAAGTGAGCTGCGAGGTGCCGATGCCCTTGAAGTCTGCCCTGCAGATTAATTAGAACCGATCCTGGCGTGCTGCTGCGCGGGCCGGTCCCTTGGGCCACATGAGACCGCCAATCCCCTATTTGGATTAGTGGAGATTTGGGTTTAAATTCACAAGTCTTGACAGATCGGCCCTTCTGATCTTCATTCCGTGTTATTGTCAAACCTGATATCTACCTGGGATGACCGCAGAGGTCTCTGGTCTCCGTTTCTCTGTAACATGTGCTCATGTCAGTTGGTGGATTCAGCTTTTCCTTTTGCTCAGGGTTTCCACCACAGCCTGGATGTGGCTTTTCCTTCAGTTATATAAACCAGGTATTTTGGGGGGTGAACTGCGCTGATTAAAATTTAAATTGGATTTGAGAAATTAGCTGCTGTTTGGAATTTTTTTTTTTTTTCTTGTGGTTGGACCCTAGACACTGAAAAGCAGTTTTGAGTCTTTGGGTCTGTTATTTTGTTTAAGAGCCTTGTAAGGGTGGGGATGTCCCCCATCTGAAGATGCACAAGGTCAGAAAGTTCAGATGTCGTGCTCAAGATCACATGGTAGATTAAAATCCAGGCCTAGCCACTAGGTCCTAGGGTCTCTGTAAATGCTATAGCTCCCTATTCCCTGAGGATAGCAACAGATTGGAAGGTTCCTTAGGTGCTTTGGGGCTGACCTTAGAATTCCATTCACCCACATTTGACTGGAGCCTTTCTAACATAGGGATGGAAGGCCGCGTTCTAGCTTTGTGGAGGGAGGCACAGTGGACACTGTGGTGGTTCCTGGAAGTGTACTCCTGACCCTCCTCTCCCACAGATGGTCCCCACGGTCCTGTGTTAGGGATCAGGGTCCCATACTCCCACTACCCCCCAGTGTCAGGTATAGACAGCAGGTCCCAGAGAAGGTCAACTTGCTTGGCTTCTGGCTTTTCCAGGTCCCAGGAACCCTCTGGGATGCCTGAGAGTATCTGCCTCCTGCCCCCAGCCTGGCTCCCACCATGAGCGCCGAGCTCAACGTGCCTGTGGACCCCTCCACTCCTGCCTGCTCTGAACCCGGCCACAAGGGCATGGATTACCGGGACTGGGTCCGCCGCAGCTACCTGGAACTGGTCACGTCCAACCACCACTCTGTGCAGGCGCTCTCCTGGAGGAAGCTCTACCTGAGCAGAGCCAAGCTGAAGGCCTCCAGCCGGACCTCTGCCCTGCTGTCAGGCTTCGCCATGGTGAGTGCAGACACGTGGTGGGGAACACGGCCTGCAAAATGGGCTTTTGCTGTCGAGATGCTATGATGCTTCAGGGAGCAAAGCACTCCCTCTAGGCCCCACTGGCAGACAGGCTGGCTGCCAAGGATGGTCCCCAGGCAGTCCCCAAGGGTAATCAAAATAGCTTCAGTATGCGGGGAGAGAAGTACCCCTGTGTGCTCCCACCTTGGGCACCCCTCAAGACTTTGGAAAATCTGAAGGATTTGAGCAGGACTCTTGCAATGATTCGGGTTTGCTCAGTTTGGCCCAACTCAGGACGCAGATGCCCCCCAAATGTGGCATCTGGGGTGATGAAGCAGAGCCTCTGACCTGACTCCTGGCTGCCAGGCCACCACCTTCCTTCTGAGTCATTCCTCAGCACAGGAGTCAGTCTTGGGCCAAACTGCGGGCCCTGAGAAGGGCCATGTCACCTGTTGACTCCAAAGTCCCTGACTCACATCCCTTCAGGGAATTGTCCCAGAAGGCGAAGATGCCAGGATTCAGAGTGAGAACACAGGGAGGGCCACCCCTCTTTCTTCTCCATTGAGTGGAAATAATTTTTTTCTTTAAAAAAAAAATTTTTTTTTAATGTTTATTTATTTATTTTTGAGAGTGAGATAGAGAATGTGAAGGAGGGGCAGAGAAAGAGGGAGACAGAATCCGAAGCAGGCTCCAGGCTCTGAGCTGTCAGCACAGAGCCCGACACGGGGCTCGAACTCACCGACCGCGAGATCATGACCTGAGCCGAAGTCAAATGCTTAACTGACTGAGCCACCTAGGCACCTCCCCCCCCTTTTTTTTTAAAGTTTATTTTTGAGAGAGAGACAGAGAGAGTATTAGGGGAGGGGCAGAGAGAGAGAGGAAAACAGAATCTGAAACAGGCTCCAAGCTCTGAGCTGTCAGCACAGAGCCTGACACCGGGCTCGAACTCTGAACAGTGAGATCATGACCTGAGCTGAAGTCGGATGCTTAACCAACTGAGCCACCCAGGTGCCCCTTTAAAAGAATTTTTTAATGTTTATTTTGAGAGAAAGCAAACATGCAAGCGGGGGAGGGGCAGAGAGGGACAGAATCCCAAGCAGGCTCCATGCTGTCCGTCAGCATGGAGCCCCACTTGGGGCTCCATCCCAGAAACCGTGAGATCATGACCTGAGCCAATATTAAGAGTCAGACACTTAATCGACTGAGCCACCCAGGCACCCCCAGGTCAGTAGTTTAAAGCAAAGGCTTTATTTATGTGTTGTATTGTGTTATTTATTTATTTTTAACATAACACCAAAAGCATAAAATCATATGGTGCACAACTTTGGCATATAGTTATTTTCTTCCTGTGGTTTCCATCACATGCAAAAGATAGAATGTTTTCTCAAGCTTAATTGTACGGAATGCGGGTAAGAAGTTTAAACGACTCTATGAA